CTTATAATACTTACACTCAAGGAAAAGATACCTACTTTACAGAGGTTTTTTTTACAGAGATTTTTAAATGGTAGATTAGTTTCCATAAAATCTGATTTTATTATGCTTGCTAATATAGAAAGATTGAAACATCAATGATGAGAATCACTGATCAGCTGCCTCCTGCATGTCCCCCACTGGGGACTGAGCAACCCAGGCATATGCCTTGGACCAGAATCGAACCTGGGACCCTTCAGTCCCCAGGCCTACGCTCTATCCACTGAGCCAAACCAGCCAGGGAAAACCTCATCTGATTTTTACAGAGAGGAGGGGAGAGGAAGATAGAGTTAGAAACATCTGTGAGAGAGAAACATAGATCAGCTGCCTGCTGCATGCCCCCTACTGGGGATTAAGCCCACAACCAAGGTACATGCCCTTTACCACAATTGAACCCAAGAACCTTCAGTCCACCAACCGATGCTCTACCACTGAGCAAAATCAGTTAGACCCCATTCATTTTTTTAGAGAGAATGGAAGGAAGGGGGAGAAACAGAGAGAGGGAGACACATCGATTGGTTGCCTTCCCCATGAACCCCGACCTGGGGTCCGTCAATCCACACACTGATAGCTCTATCCACTGAGTCAAAATGGCTAGGGATATTTTTATTTTTTGGCCAAATTCTAATTCAGACATAAGATATTATAATATAATTTCATTAGCACTTATGCCACCTGTTACTGCCTTATGTTACTAAAGTAACCTTAGATTCCTTTTTTTAAAAAGAAATTCTTATTCTAATTTTTCCCCATTTTTTATTGATTTCAGAAAGGAAAAGAGGGAGAGAGAGATAGAAACATCAATGATGAGAGAGAATCATTGATCGGCTGCCTCCCGCACATCCCCTACTGGGGATTGAGCCCGCAACCCTGGCATGTGCCCTTGACCACAATCAAACCTAGGACCCTTCAGTCCACAGGCCAACACTCTATCTACTGAGCCAAACCAGTTCAGTGGACTTTCTTGTTTGGTTGATGGTTTCCTTTGCAGTGAAGGAGCTTTTTATTTTGATGTAGTCCCATTTGTTTATTTTCTCCTTAGTTTCCTTTGCCCTAGGAGCTGTATCGGTATGTGGTATTTTGTGATATTTTGTGGAAGAGCCACACTCAAGGGGCCAAAGAGCCACATGTGGCTCGCAAGCCGCAGTTTGCCAACCACGGAGCTAGGGCAACAAGGCCAAGTCTTACCCAGTTGAAGAGAAAGATGTCACATACCTCCTTCATGAAGGTACTTGGTGACTATGATGAACCAAGACAAAAATATATTTTATAACCATGTCTCACAATATGACAAAAGTGGCAATTCCAAATTTTAAAAATGGCTAATATTGCCCTCTTCTTACTAATGTGACTTACCAGGGCATCTTACAAAATAAGTGTAGCTTCATTACATTGCCTCCTAAACAATAAGGTTTGTGATGACCAATAACATACTACGTTGACCTCCTCAAAACCTTGAACAGCCACAATAGCACCTATCACATGCCAAACCCTATACAAGTCCTGATCAACCTTTCATGTCACACAGCACAGTCGTGTGTACTGTGTGGTCATTCTTACTATTGGAATTCATTACACCCTTCTCTTTGACTACATCCTCGATCATACAGGCCATTGGCAAGAGGGCAATGAAAAAAACCACGATTTACAGTTTTGGTATTAAGACTGAATGGCAATTAGTGTCATGACAAAAACTGTAACTATAAAAAAATAATAATAAAATATCCCTTAAGAAAAAATACTTGAACATGAATGAATATAAAAAAATTAACCCATGTGGTACAATTATTAATGAGGAGAATTACAAAGTTTCTTTGAAAATCCATAATTGTTATGAGACATTTTAACATGTCTTCTCAGGAAATAAAAAACACAATATTTGTTAGCATACCAGAGCTTAGAAAAGAGTTAATAAAATGCTTTTATGAAACAACTATAGAAGTGTTCATTTGACTACAAAATACATGTACTTTTACTCACATACAACGAAACATGACTGAACTATATTGAAGGATTACATGCAACTACAAGTAACAGTCAACACCCAGTCTTTCTGACAGGTGTAATTTTTTTTGACAGCACCATTGTAGATGTCATGGTGAATAAGAAAAACATACTAAATGGCACTGATAACTATAGGAAGGTGTTTCCTATACAAATTAGACCTTATACAGATATGATCTAGATACAGGGGAATCAGATATGAAAGTCTGATCAGTTTCCTGGTGGACACAAGAGGGCTTACAGAAAATCCAAACTCAGATGAATCTTTGATGTGGATCTTATGAACCCATCAGTGGAAACCTACACTTCTCAGAAAATGGATATGAGCCTGGTGGGCGTGGCTCAGAGGTTGAGTGTCAACCTATGAAGCAGGAGGTCACAGTTCAATTCTCAGTCAGGGCACATGCCTGGGTTGCAAGCTCAATCCACAGTATGGGGCATGCATGAGGCAGCCAGTCAATAATTCTCTCTCATCATCAATGTTTCTATCTCTCTCTCCCTCTCCCTTTTTTCTCTGAAATCAATAAAAATATATTTAAAAAAGAAAATGGATATCAGACAGTTGGTGGTGGTTTTGAGGATAGTCTTGATTGGAAGGTCAAAGAATCCAGACAACAGGCTGGAAGATTTTGTTCTTGACACGCCTATGTCTGTCTGTCTGTGTGAATGTTGGCTCTAAAATCTGACTAATGCCTTCTTCGTTTTGGCCTTCCAAATCTCATGCAAGTGAGGCTACTAAGGAACTCTAACATGGACCATAAAGGAGTTGGGTTCTGGAAAATCAAGGTCCTAACATTACCCAATGGGAGGGGAAACCTTCCACTCTTGATTCTGTTACCCCATCACAAGTGCCTCTTCTCAATTCACCAAATAGCAGTCCCAAGGAAGAACGAAAGCAAAGGTGTAAATATGAAAATAATTCACATGTAACTATATTTTTTCCTAAATTTGCCACACATAAAATTTATTCCATGGAAAATAGAAAAAGGTTCCTATACCCACCACTCCCAAAGGGAGCTTTGTCAGAGGGAAACATAGAATATATATAATGGACTAGGGATATAAAAGACTGCCATAGCACACGAGGAAAACCCAAATACCAAACTGTCCTTTTTAATGGCCCTGTAAAACCAAACAAATAAAATATTATAAAAAAAAATCTTTAACATAACTGCATATAAAAAATAGACTTCAGTTCACCCATGTATCTCACAGGATACAAGAGAGAGAAAAAATATTACTAACTATTTTAAGAAAAGAGCACTACCTAATCAATCTTATATACTATTTTTTAAAGACTCTCATTACTATTTGACGTGAGTATTCATTTCTGGAAGTAATTAATAGAAATCCACAGCCAAATGATGAGGTATGGAAAAGGTTTTAATAAACACAATATATTTACAACATTAATGAGGACTCTTTCACATTGAAAACTTTCTGGCACATTCTATGTGGGTTAATTTCTGTCAAGCTTTCTCACATTACTTACATCTTAATTTCCTTTTTGGAGTGAATTTTCACTTGTAAGAATGTGGACCAATTCAAATCTTTCCCAAACTATTTACATTCAAGAGTTTTTATCCAGCGAGTCCTTTCATGCTTTTGAAAGAAACTGAGCTAACTGAAGCCTTTTGCAAATTGTGCACATTAATATAATTTTTCTCAGGTTCATCTTCAGATTTTGAAAGGTTGTGTGAGAAATGAAGAATTTTCCAAATTGCTTCCATATATAGAGTTCCCTCCAGTGTGAGTTCGTTCATGTTTTCGCAGATAACGGAGACAAGTAAATGCTTTACTACATATTTTACATACATACGGTTTCTCTCCAGTGTGATTTCTTTCATGTGTTTGAAAACTTTGATAACATTTGAAGGCTTTCCCACATTCCTTACATTCATAAGGTTTCTCTCCAGTGTGAGTTTTTTCATGTGTTTGTAAGGAACGGTGATCTCTGTAGGCTTTCCCACACTCCTGACATTCAAAGGGTTTCTCTCCAGTGTGATTTCTTTCATGTTTCTGAAGATCACTGGGATACCTAAATGCTTTACTACATTTTTTACATTTATAGGGTTTCTTTCCAGTGTGACTTACTTCATGTTTTCGAAGATAGTGAAGACAGCTAAATGCTTTACTACATTTTTTACACACATACGGTTTCTCTCCAGTGTGGTTGCTTTCATGTGTTTGGAAACTTTGATAACATCTGTAGGATTTCCCACATTCCTTACATTCATAAGGTTTCTCTCCAGTATGAATTCTTTCATGTATTCGTAAGGAACTGAGATATCTATAGGCTTTCCCACATTCCTTACATTCATAGGATTTCTCTCCAGTATGTGTTCTTTTGTGATATCGAAGAGAACTGGGATAACCAAATGTTTTGCTACATATTTTACATTCATAGGGTTTCTCTCCAGTGTGATTTCTTTCATGTATTTGGACACATTGATGAGAACTGAAGGCTTTGCCACATTCCTTGCATTCATAGGGTTTCTCTCCAATATGAGTTCTTTGGTGTGTTTGCAAGGAACTGGGATCACTGAAGGCTTTACCACACTCCATACATTTAAAAGGTTTCTCTCCAGTGTGATTTCTTTCATGTTTTTGAAGATCACTGGGATACCTAAATGCTTTACGACATATTTTACACTCATGGGGTTTCTTTCTGGTGTGATTTCTTTCATGTTTGCGGAGATAACGGAGACAACTAAATGTTTTACCACATTGCTTACATACATATGGTTTCACTTCTCTGTGATTGCTTTCATGCCTTCGAAAACTTTGATAACATCTGAAAGTTTTCCCGCATTCCTTACATTCATAGGGCTTCTCTCCAGTAAATTTATTTTCATGTCTTCGATAATTTTGATAATACCTGAAGGTTTTTCCACACTCCTTACATTCATAGGGTTTCTCTCCAGTGTGAACTCTTTCATGACGTCGAAGAGAACTGAGACGACTGAATGCTTTACCACACTGTTTACATTTATAAGGTTTTTCTCCAGTGTGGGATCTTTCGTGTATTTGAAGTGAAGTTGAAGAACTAAAGGTCTTCCCACATTCCTTACATTTATAGGCTTTTTCTCCATTGTGATTCCTTTCATGTTTGTCAAAACACTGAAGATAACTGAAGGTTCTCCCACATACATCATAATTATCCAGCTTTTCTCCATGATTTTGACACTCAGATGGCTTGTTTCCAGTGTGACTTCTGATGTGCATATTATGGGAAGACTGCAGCATGAAGACTTTCCCACACACACTGTATTCCCATGGTTTTACTGTAGGAAGAGATTTTTTCTTTGGACTGAGATTTGGAGTAAGGCTGAAGTTTTCCCCACATTGACTATTCTTCTCCCCTTCACAGATTCTCTCTAATACTGGGTTTCTGGAAAAAATTTAGAAGCACATTACTAATTATTTTTTCATCAATAACTTTAAAATTATTACTAGAATCTTTGAACTATATTTTCATGATTTATAGCAAAATTTTAGGTTTTCCCCCACTCTGAATGGATGATTAGAAACAATGTACTGAATGCTTTGCAAGAGGAGTTTTCCTTTGCTACTATCAAAACAGTGATATCCATGTGAAGGATTTATCAATACTCTTTCCATTTAAATTACTTTACAAGTATTGACCTTCTTTGTCATCCATAAGAAAGTAATTTGGTGGAAATTTTCTAAGTAATAAATGTGAAGCAGAAGTTATTTTGGTTGCTTCTTTTTTTAAAATATATTTTTATTGATTTCAGAGAGGAGGAGAGAGGAAGAGAGAGAAACATCAATGATGAGAGAGAATCATTGATCAGCTGCCTTCTGCATGTCCCACACTGGGATTCAAGCCCGCAACCCGGGCATGTGCCCTTGACTGGAATCAGATCCAGGACACTTCAGTCTGCAGGCTGATGCTCTATCCACTGATCCAAACCAGCTATGGCTGGTTGCTTCTTTTGAAATTTGGTAGCTTTACAGGTTTCTCACAAAAATAGTGATTTCTATTCCAAATGTGACTCACCTTTGTTTTCCCCTTTGGTTTTTGTACTGATCTTCAATGTCATAAGCTTCCCATTTCTTTCCTAAAATGCAGAGCCAGAAAATTGATTCCAAACTATTAGAAACTGTGGAGAAATTATTAGATTCTATTTCTATGATGTGCTGTGACCATGCCCAGTTTATTCACCAATGTCCTCCCTTCCCACATTCCACAGCTGAGAACAAGGCTGATCGCCAAAAAACACTTGTCCTCTAATTTACGAGGTGAAGATAAGCTGTCATCCTTACCTATGGAGGCCAGGTTCCTGAAGGTTTCCCTCATCACATCTCTGTAGAGTTTCTTCTGTGAAGGATCCAATAAGGCCCACTCCTCCAGACTGAAGTTCACAGCCACATCCTCAAAGGCCACTGAGTCCTAAAACATGCAAATATCTATATAGTAGGATGCATCAATCTGACAGCACTGGGCATTTACACTCAATTTATAGAAGGGTTACATAGGATTCTGTGGTTTCTCAACATTTATTTTATGTTTTAAGACCATCAAATTTTTGTGAGAAACATTCACCTCTTTGCTGCCCACCATTTACAGCACTCCATGAGCTGTTCAAATGAAACAAATATTATCACTTTAAGACCATCAATTTTTTTGACAAACATTCACCTCTTTCTTTGCTGCCCACCATTTACAGCACTCCATGAGGCAGATGTTAACATCTGCAATGAGGTTTCAATGAATAAAAACATAGTCAAGAACTACAAGCTTTTTCCTCTAGTTCCATCACCAAACATGAAAGTCCAGGAGGCCTGTGGAAGGACAACTTTTAACAAAGTCCAGCTGGCCATGTTCTAAATTCTTCCAGAAAATGAGAAGGAACTGTATGCAGCTGGCTGAATGGAAATATTTTTGCAGAGAAGCACTGCTCTTATCTGATGTAATATTTACCACAGATTCAGTCTTTCTTTTCTCTTTGTCTGATTTGATGGGTTAGAAGTTTATTTGGAACTCCAAGCTCAGAGAAAAGGAAGAAGGCATAGCAACTTACTCCACCAATCCCCACACTCATGTGCCTCAGGCTGCTCCTTGGCACACACAGGCACACACACTGAGGTAATAAGAGGCCAGAAGAGCTCTTTCCAGCACAACCATAGCAGTCTATCCTGGGACCTGCTGACACGGAGGAAAGGCTCAGAGCTCAGGCCACA